TGCGAAAAGAAAGAAACAAAAAAAGAAAAAAAAAAGGAAAAGAAAAAAAGAAAAAAAAAAGAGAAAAGAAAATTTTACTAAAATTTCATACACTTCGTAGCTAAACTCAGAGCGGTAGAAAATTTTCTTAATAAACATTTCTTGTAACTTCAGTCAATCGCGAAATATTTTTTCGAATATTTACAGATAGACATATATAATACTGTACTGTGTGTATGTATGTGTTCGCGCGCGCGCGTGTGTGTGTGTAATACTATACAATGACATACATTATGCAAAAAATATAAACATATGTTTTGTATATATTATATATTTTCTATAAATAATAATATTTATATTTCGTATAAGACATGTTATATATATATATATATTATATATTTATATTATATATACATATATATATATATATATACATATATAGTTATTATAAATATTATAGTTATATATATATATTATTTTGCATTTTTTAATAGGCTATATGTGAATACAAACACAAACAAAAACATAAACATGAAAAAGTATGTTTTTAAGTGGATTACCTAGAACAGAATAGAGAGTCTTGTGAAAAGCACGATAATTAACGACGAATAGTCAGGGAGGAACGCACACGCGCGCGCGCGCGCGAGAGAGAGAGAGAGAGAGAGAGAGAGAGAGAGAGAGAGAGAGAGAGAGAGAGATAGAGAGAGAGAGAGACAGAGACAGAAAGAGAGAGAGAATATAGATCGTTAGTCATGCGATCTAACGTTAGCGTGATCTAATGTAGCCCTCATGTAGTCAAAGGCGTAGTCCATAGTTCCGCGCCCTTCTATGTCATAGATTTATGTTACAGATTGCAATCATGGTATGTCAAACGCGTTCCCCACCTCTTCCCCGCTCCACCCATTTGATTTTCCAATCAGCAACCAAAAGGATTTTTTAAATCGTTTTTTTTTTTTTTAATTCTCGTCATGATGAGATACACACGCGATTGATCGATTTTATATTTTTTGAAATAAATAAATTCGATTCATCATATCGAATGATTTCTATTCTTTCGGAATTAAGCAGAACCCATTGAAATTCCGAAAAATCCGGGTTTAATACAAACAAAAAAAAAAAAAAAAGATTATTATATTTTATAAACATGACGCCAAAAAGAAACAACAGTGCCGGCACTCTGTCAGATTACGAAATAAATGTTTGAAAGGTAGTTCAAAAATTCCGAAAGAGTTCGTTCTCTCTCTCTCTCTCTCTCTCTCTCTCTTTTTGTTAATACTTTCGCGTACTTCATGAATAATTGAGGAGAAATAAATCTTTCTACGTTCGAGCTACCTAACCTTCTCCTACCCCCCCCACCATTTTCCACATCCCTCCTTCTTTCATCGAAAAATATTATTCTCCCCATTTTTTGTCTTCCATTGATGGAGCTTCAAGGAATCTCAGAAAGAACAAACAAATCACTGGTCATGGAGAAGCAGAAAAAAAAAAGAACAGAAAAGAAAATAATTTATTTCAACGAACAGAAAATTGAGACGTTGGACGTAAAATGGGACTGTAAAGAAAATGTAAAAATTTCTATGAAAATATCTGTTTTTTTCTTTTTTTTTATATATATAAGTGTTTAACGTTTTCACTCTTATTGATCTATGTAATAATTTTATTTTTGCTATAAGATTACTTTGTTATTATAATAATTTGATTTATTTAATTTTTCAAGAGATTTTTTTTTTACAAGAGATAAGATCAAAGAAACCATTCAATGCTACTGTAGAAAAAACAAAGAAAAACTATTGCTATCGAAAATATTGTTATTAAAAAAATATGTTAATAAATCGAAAAATAAACAAAATCGCGTTACTATCATCTTTAACTTTTGTGTTTTTTTTTATTGAACACCAGCGATTACCTTGGAGAGTATTAAATATTATATTGATTAAAGAGGACAAAAAAGAAAATTAAAAAAAAAACCTACAATACAAGAAACAAAAATACAAGGGATAAAATAAAATTGATACTTTAAAATCACTGTCGTTTATCACGATCATATTATTCTTTTTTTATTTCGATTAATCTTCTTAAATCTTTCCAACGTTTTAGATCTTCTTCACATCGAAATAAATTATTTTCAAGTAATTTTTTCGTAACAACTTATAAATGGATAATATCTTTGCGTATAGACATAATTTAAGGTAAAAGGTTACTCCATAGGGAAAAAATGTCTCTTTTTCAATCGAACTTTTCAATTTTGATCAGGACAGAAAAACGACGAATGCACGTGCACGCAATACGAAGGATATCCGTTTGCTTTCTAACGATTAGATTCAGGAAATTGAAATTTCCTCGATAGAATTCTACCACCGCTTGAATTTACTCTGTATGCATACGTATATACGTGCATACGTTTGAAAGAGTGAGAGAGAGAGAGAGAGAGAGAGAGAGAGAGAGAGAGAGACGAATACTGAACGAAGACGAGTTGAGTTTAGTAATGGGAGTGGATTCGAAACGTTGAAAAAGAAGAAAAAAAGAAAAAAGAGGAAAAAGAAAAAAATCTCTAGATCGTTTCAAACACGTTCATCCAGCTTCTAATCAATGCTCGATAGCCATATATATTTTTTATTTTTCTCCTTTTCCAATTTTTGTCTTATTTTGTTTTATATATTTCTCGACTATATATAATACGAACTATGAACTTTTCATTGGACTATGAACGCCTTGATAGATGTGTATTTGATAAATAGATAAACGTACAGGTGTTGTAAAGAAGAGACAAAACAAAAAAAAAAAAAAAAAAAAAAAAAAAAAAAAAAAAAAAAAAAAAAAAAAAAAAAAAAAAAAAAAAAAAAAAGAAAAGAAAGAAGAAAAAAATTTTTTTTAAATAAAATAGAGAGAGAGAGAGAGAGAGAAAGAGAGAGAAGATAGTAAAATAAAGGAAATAAAAAAGGTAACTTACAAATAATAGAAGAAGTAGAGTTCGAATGTCATTGACCGGCGGCGCCCTAAAGTCGTCATGCTCTAGGCTGTATCGATCTGTCTCTATCTATATATACATATATATGTATGTATATGTATATATGTATGTATACGTATGTATATATATATATATATGTATGTATATCTTTCTTTTCCTTTTTCTCTCTCTTTCTCTTTTTCTCTTATTTCATCATCCCCATAAGGAAGAATACAAGAATGATTGATAGACCATTATCATGATTTATTTATATTTATATTTCATGTGATAACCATAAGTGTATATCGAATTAGATAACAACTTCGAATAAGAATCGATTGTCTTTTTTAAAATCCTTTCGTCATAAATATCATTATATTCCAAGATATTATTCTAAACTTTTCCGTAATAGTAAAAACATGAAAAATGTATTTTGAGTTTCGAATTGTCATCTTGAATTTTCAATGAAATCAGAACGTCGATCGACATTTCCTGGAATAAATACTCTCTCTCTCTCTCTCTCCCCCCCTCCCCCCTCCGCTCCCCTCTCACCCTTACTCACTCACTCACTCACTCACTCACTCGATATTATCTTTTACATAAAAATAGAAGTGAATGATGCATAAGAAGATCATTGGAAAAATAGCCTTGGAAAACAAGCTTTAGGTCTGTTATCAAGTCGTAAAAGGTGATAGTGGTGGTAGTAGTGATGGTAGATATACATATGTTAGTTCGATAAAGGAAAGGTCGAAGCCGTTCTGCATTTTGCACATCATGCGCGGTTGCTGACTCGTCCGTCCTCCGTACGAAGAAGACAGTAGTCAGGGTCATCGTAACACAAACGTACGAGGTCAGCACAAAAATGATGAATCATCGTACTTACGTTCGACTCGATGTAATCCGTTTGGGCTTCGGATATTTGCGATCAACGACTTTACAACGAAGTTTATACCGATAAGGAATTATTTTATTTTCGTTACTGTGGTTTCTGATCCATTCCCACTCCTTACCCTACCCCTCTTTCCCCATTCCCCTCTCAACCAATTCATTTCTACAAATTTTGACAACCATCTTTTTATTCCTTCTTCATATATAGATTTATCAAATTATCGATAATTAATTAATAATAATAATTTTCATTTAATTATTATGAGTAATAAATTATTATTATTATTATTATTATTATTATTATTATTATTGGTTTTTTATCTGGCAATCAATCATGATTTCATTGTTAAAATTAATAGGACTTCGTTAATTATATTATACGATAAAATATTTTGTCAAAATAGCGTGTTTGTCATCATTTCTTTTTTCCTGTTTTTTTTTCTTTTCTTTTTTTAAGTAAGAACTCGATTAATAATAAATATAATAGAATTAAGTTCCGTTAATTGTTGTAATAAGTTATTCGGCGATATTTATTAGTGACAATCTATCAGAATTTTATTATACATTCTAAGTAATTCGCGTCAATTATATCACGTATTCATATACTATATCAAAATGGCGTCTAAATCATATCGTTTTTTACTCTTTTTTTCTTTTTTAAATCACAAGTCGATCAATAACGAATACGACAGAACTAATATCTAGTTAATTGTTGTAATAAATGATCAATTAATATTTTCAATTGACAATAGATCATAATTTTTATTATATATTAATTATTATTATAAGTAATTCAATGTTATTATTATAATTAATTGAATAAATTTGTAAAATTATATTATCTATTCTTTATCAAAGTGGCATCCACTAAATCATATCGTTTTTACTTTTTATTTATTTATATTTTTTTTCTTGAATAATAAAACCATCAATAACAAATATAACAAAATTAGTTATTAATTAATTGTTGTAATAAAAAATTCATTAAATAATTATATCAGACCGCATTCGTTCATTATGCATTCATATTTTTCATCAAAATGACGTTTTACCTTCCTTTAACTTTTTTTTTTTTTTTTTTTTTAAGCAAAATCTCGAAATTATGTTTACGATAAAAATCAGACGGCAGAAAGAAATTTTGCTGGAGATACGAGAATGTTATATTTTCATGAATGTGAGTACTCACATGAGGTCGGGACGAAAGTGATGAATCATGGCGCAAAATGCGAGCCCATCTCGCCACGAGGTGGTCATGTTCTGTACGTTTACACCCGGATAACCCTCGGTTATTCGTCTGCACCAGAGCTCGAGAGCTTTCGTACCACGTTTTTCGCTCATTTTGACTTCCTCCTTCAATGCTTTTCCTAAGTGATTTCTTCTAGAAACACGCTGTGTCACGTGCGTTCTCACAGATAAGTTCTCGTTGTGATAAAAACGAAAAATTGATAAAATATCTTCTTAATATATATTCTTTTTCTTCTTCTTTCCTTCGTCAATCTTTGTCCAGTATAATTTGTTAAAATCTGAAAAGAAAAGAAAAAAACATTTAAAAACAAACAAAGAAAGATAAGAAGAAGGTATATTAAATCGATAACGTTGATCGATGAATATTTAACAATTATCTACAAATATTTAAAAATTATAAAACTATTATCGAATCTACATAAAAATGACGGATTTCAGATTTTCTATTTCATAATGATTATAATCATAATTATTACAAATACTAACAAATATAAGTTTGTTTTTTCCTTCCCGAAAAAATCAAATCTACGTATATGATAAAAATAGAAGCCCCATAGTTAGCTTCAATGTTAAAATGAAAAAAAGAAAGAAAAAAAAGAAAAAAAGAAAAAAAAAAATTTTTAAATCTTAATTTTTTAATCATCTTATTCTAAGTAACTCTTTTCTTTGATAAAAACAAGTATAATAAAAGCATATTAGACTACATAAAAATTATATTATCGTATTAATATATTATTGCATGCAGAGTATTGTATTAATGTATTATTGCGTGGAGAGGATGGACGGTGAACATTTTGAATATGTAATAAAATAAAAATTATTTTTAAAACTTTTAATTTACATTTTATTGTACTTTAAACTTTAAAACACATTTTTCTAGGAATTATTGACTCGAAAAAAAAAAAAAGACAAAAAAGCAGTATTGTAAAGATAATTAAAAGACCTTTCAAATGATTTTTGACTTCTATTTTCATTAAAAATTTTTCAAAGCTGAATTTATAAGGACCTATCGCCCTCAAAAACAAAACTGATCTATCCTAACGTTTTTCAAAAATAGCACTATAATCCGATTGGACATTTCTCGTTGAGAACACTCTGTATATACATATTATATGTATACGCAAACGCGTGTAGCAATATCATTATCCGCTTCCTGTCATTATGTCGTTAATATCGTGCTGTTGTATTAGTTAGCCTTATTACGATATTTGATTTAACAAATAACATTGAGACTATGTATTAGTTTCTTTCTTTTTGTTTTTTTTTTCTTTTTTTTTCAAAAATTAATTTTATTAGTTCAGAAATCCAAATTTTTCCACAACCAGGACACGATACCGTATACATAATCACATGTTCTATAAATAAAATCATCACGTACATCATTTAACGTACTTGTGTACATAATGTATTGCGATTATTTTCTACTTTTTCAAATTCTTCAAAAAGATGTTTTAAAAGTTGTCTCTCTGAAAACTGAATACTCGTACACAAAGACTATATCCTACATTTTCGAATTATTTTTTCACGAGGTATCATTTCTGACTTTATTGTATCATTGTTACTAGAACACTCTGTATATGTGTATATATATATATACATACATACATGTACATATAGCAGTTTTGTGTGAAAGTATTGCTTCGCGTTAATTCATTTATATTACGATTGCAAATCATGTCGTTAGTTAGATCGAATAAAAAAGAAAAAGGAAAGAAAAGAAAAAAAAAAAAAAAGAAGAAAAAAGAAAACGAAAAAAGAGTTGTCTAAGACGTTTTGTCGAACGTGAAAGTAGGAGCACAACTTGTGTCGTGTAAAATATGTAACGGCTCAAGCGTGAAGCGTGCAATTGGTACTTGGTCGCTATCATTGCTCGTAATATCGTTTCGTAGAGAGAAAGAGAGAAAGAGAGAAAGAGAGAAAGAGAGAAAGAGAGAAAGAGAAAGAGAAAGAAAGAAATAGGAGTAAAATCATTTCTCGAAGTTCTAGTTTTGAGATAAGTCAGATAAGAAAGAGAGCGATTGGACAACATGTTTGTATATACGATCGATCGATCGATCGATCGATCCACACACGACACGTCAATATAATGTTCGCCATTTCTTTCGCTTTCATTCTTCAAACGAGTTACTTTTATAATCCTAATTCATTTCAAGTATATAGAAATACGTCTTTCTTGCTTGGCTAGTAATAATCGTTCTGATACATCGAACATTAAAATATTTCGTTAATTTACGATCGACATAAGAATTCATGACGAATTAGATTTTCTGAAAGATTTTAATCGTGTCTTGTCTCACATGTGGATTTTGTCTTTTTTCTTTTTCGTCTTTTTTCTTTTATTTATCAATAGCTGCTTTTATTCTTAATCTTAGAGAAACGCATTTAGATATTATTCTCGGTCAGGTTTATATCGTTTTTCATGGAGTGATTTATTGCTCTTTTTCTTTCCTTTTTTTTTTTGCATCGATATAACTTGAAAAAGAGAGAAAAATAGATAGAGTAAGACAGAGAAAGACAGAGAAGGACAGAGAAAGAGAAAAAAAGAGAAAGAGAGAGAGAAAGAAAGAGAGAAAGAAAGAGAGAGAGAGTGCAAAAAGAAAAAGTTATTTGAAACAACTTCTCAAGAGTCGAACCACTTTCGTTTTCTCGTTCGATTGAAACGACACAACTGTAAAGAGAGAGAGGGGGAGGGGAGGGAGACAGGCAGAGAGACAGAGAGAAGGGGGAGACAGGCAGAGAGACACAGAGAGAGAGAGAGAGAGAGAGAGAGAGAGAGAGAGAGAGAGAGAGAGAGAGAGAGAGAGAGAGAGAGAAAAGAGAGAAATACTATTCAAACGATGAAACGTCGTATTAAGATCGATTAGTTCTCGATTAACCAAACACTACGTTTGAAACGTCGTTCCCTCGACGAACATTTGAAAATGGCGCGTCCTGGATGAGACACAGGTCACGTGGGATATATTAGAAAGTAAGAGAGCGCTCAGGTCGCAAAAGGGTCGTGAACGGTGATTGGATTACGACTTATTCGAGTAGGGAGGGAGAGGAAATAAAGGAAAAGAAAAAGAAAACTTAAAAGAAAAAAGGGAAGAAACAAAAAGAAAAAGAAGAAAAAGAAGAGATAGGTGAAGCGAAAAAGAGATACACACACACATAGAGAGAGAGAGTGTGTGAGAGAGAGAGAGAGGAGAGAGAGAGGGAGAGAAAAAGAGAGAGAGAGAGAAAGCAAAAAGTAAATAAATACTAAAAAAGGAGAAGGGAAAGAAAAAAGATAAAAAGATCAAAAGATAAAGAAAAAGAAAAATATAAAAAGATAAAGAAAAAGAAAAAAAAAGAAGTGGTAAATGTGACGCACCGCTTTACGTTGGTTAACGGGAAAGTACTTTAAAACGTCTTTCCTTTTATATATTCGGTATCTGGTCTAACCGGTTTCTAAATACAAGAGAAAAAGAGAGAGAGAGAGAGAGAGAGAGAGAGAGAGAGAGAGAGAGAGAGAGAACGACAAATGCCGCCTTCGGCTTGGAACTTTTACAAATGGCAAGTCATGGGCATTAATCTCGCGCCGTTTTCTGCCGCGAATCCGTTTGCTAGTTTGAGAGAGAAAAAAAAATATTGAACGCGTATATGTAGACCATGGATGATGGGGCCCTATTGGGTACCTACTGGTTTAAAACTACGTCGGAGATACGTACTTACGTATCTACGCTCAATGATAAATAATCTGATAATTTTTTTTTTTTTTTTTTTTTTTCTTGGAAATGATATTAATATATTAATATATCGTACACCAAATGTTATAATCGCCATACATTTCCCATTATGGTGAATCAACATGGAAATATTTTTTTCTTTTTGCTTACATAAAAAATCAAATTGTTTTTACGTCATAGACACAAGTGTGTGTGTGTGTGTGTGTGTGTATATATATATATATATTTTTTTTTTAATATATTACAAGTTTACATATATGCATATATATGTATATAAATGTTTTATATAGTTTCATATAATATTTCGTATATATTATTTATTATAAGTATATATTAATTATTATATGTATATATTATTTATTATAAGGATATATACAAAAAAATGAGCTATGCACGTTTAATATGAGTGGAATTCGAAACCTTTTCATGGGATCTAGAATTTTGCGTGGGATGCTTTTTAAATTCTCACCCGTCAAATATCGCATGACTTTAAGCCGACAACTTTCGTTGATGTTGTTACTTAAATGTTACAAATAAACACATGATGTTGTTACTTAAATGTTACAAATAAACACATATCATGCGGACCAGGTGTTCTTCTTCAACATCAAAATACGCGAGCAATTCAGTTCCAAAAATGACACAATAGTATTTACACAAACTTTTAGGAAAAACATTTGAAGCATAAAATCGGACCTATAAACAGGGAAAAACAAATAATTCCAGAAGGAATCTTCAAAACTTTTATGCTGATTATGTATTTTTCATTGTTACAATATATATGTATTCGCGATCTAAGATGTGAAAAATGCAAAAAAATATATTTGTTAGCTACAATTGCACGACATTATAGAACAATTTTATGTACAATAAATGTCTTTAGTATAATATGATAAACATTTGATAATGATAATGATAAATATCTTTTGCGTAATAAATGATAACAAATATTTATATATATATATATATTAATTATATATATATATGTTTATAGTATTTAAAAAATTTTCTTTCTCTGAATGCTTTACATTCAAGAAACCAAACCCTTTCTTTGATATGGGTCAATTTAAATCTCTCCATTCGCCTATCGCAAACGCTATCGACGCCATCCGCCATTCGACGGTTAATTAAGCTAATCAACAAGGCCTCGTAAATTTCATTCATATGTAACTTTATCACATTATCACGGGATACTTTAAATAAATCCAACATGTTAACAGCAAAATGAATTATTCTATCACTTATATTTTCTATATTCTTCTTTTACTTATTCGTAGTAACCATGAATTAAATCATCATGGCAACCTGACCGGATGGAACGAAAAAAATTGTGATAATCACAAAAATGAAATCGTCTCTAAGACCGATATCTCAATCGGATGAAAGATAAAAGAAAATAAAAGAAAAAAAAAGAATAAGTTGATACAAAGTTGATATATTGAAATAATCAGAACAATGTCATGTAACTTGACTCTTGTAATGTTATTTTTCTTAAATTAATAACACTTAGATTTTCATCAAATATCACATATTCCAATTGATTTTCCATGTAATTTACTCGAAAGTA